ATATATATATATATATATATATGTATATATATATATATATATATATATATATATATATATATATATGTATATATATATATATATATATATATATATATATATAAAATAAAACATTTTTCATTAAGACAAAGATTGCAAATTTTAGTCGAAGGATTATATGTTTGGCAGCACTTGATAATTTTCCATTTAATAACAACAAAACTTTTTGTTTGTTATTAAATGGAAAATTATCAAGCGCTGCCAAACATATTTTATTTTAACGCATTCAGGGGAAAACCTGTTGAACAAAAGGAACGAGTTGGTTTCAAATTGTAGGCATAAAAATAAATTCCTTCTTTCGTTTTATGATACTAGCGATTAGCTGATTTATATAAGATTTTCTTTGACGTTTTCTTTTTTTGTCTCTATAGAGACGTCAGATGTCGCTTCACCGTATTTTGTAATTTTATTAACGGTTTGTTTGTTTTTGATATAGTACATGGCTGATGATTGCCGGATAGGCATGAAACTATTAGTCCCATGAAAAGTTATTTTTTCTATATGTAAATAAAAATATATATATATATATATATATATATATATATATATATATATATATATATATATATATATATATATATATATATATATATATATATATATATATATATATATTCGGATAAGTTTTCGTTTTGAAGACATTTATTTTTAGAAGCTAGTCGTTGTTTTTTGAGGATTCACCCACCCACCCTCAACTTATTCGTAGAATCGCCTCTGTATATATATATATATATATATATATATATATATATATATATATATATATATATATATATATATATATATATATATATATATATATATATATATATATATATATATATATATATATATATATATATATATATATATATATATATATATATATATATATATATATATATATATATATATATAAATATATATATATATATATATATATATATATATATAAATATATATATATATATATATATATATATATATATATATATATATATATATATATATATATATATATATATATATATATATATATATATATATAATTGCAGTTGTTTATAGTTGTTAGTTTGTTTTAGAGCCAACTTTGTAATTTTTTAATAAGAATTTGTTTCGTAGTGGCAATATGATATAATTTCGGTCCTATTTGTTAGGAGTTTCTGCAGTTTTGAATACGATATAATAGCAAACTTATATATAGCATATATAATATAAACATAATGAGAACCATTTCTAATGAATTGAGTTGGGGGGTACAGTGTCCCTGTGTATGTGATCGTTGTGCGACTTAATTACATGACAATTGTCCTTTATGCAAATTTTAAAAAAAAGTTTGTAAATTATATTGAGTATAACTTTCGTCCTTAAAATTTTTTAAAATTTCTCTTAAGATTAAATTTAAAAAAAAGAATAATATAGGAATGTTTGAGATTTTCTCATTTAACTATAAGTTCCATTATAAAGATGTAATTTTTCATTTAAATTATTTTAATACACACACACACGCACTAACACACACACAGATATATATATATATATATATATATATATATATATATATATATATATATATATATATATATATATATATATATATATATATATATATATAATATATATATATATATATGTATATATATATATATATATATATATTTATATATATATATATATATATATATGTATATATATATATATATATATATATATATATATATATATATATATATATATATATTATATATATATATATATATTTATGAGTCGTTGAGAGCAAGGGTGGTGTAAGTCAATGTGGTCAATTTCAGTTTTGATTTGACCTTGGCCACTCTTGCCAAAGCAAAAACTAGCTGTTCAGTAAACACAATCAAGTACATGCTGCGATCTAGGGGTTAAAATGGTAAGTATGAATTATACCTCTTTTACCAATAATTGCTTGAGTAATAAACTATTCGGATTGTCTTAACTCAAATCACAATTTTTCTTGACTTACACCACCCTTTCTTTCAACGACTCATAAGTGAAAACTAATTATTTATTAAAATATATTTTAATTACATGGCTAAAAGTTTCACGTAATAGCGATCATCAGATGAAACAACAACAAAAGTAATGACAAAATTTGTATACAAAAAATGTTATGAAGTGTCCACTTTGATTATATTAAAGTTCTTTATTAGAAATGTATTTTCATGGCGGCATTTTGACGTAAGCAAATTTAATGGTAAAGTAATAATGTGGTATTTTTTCGTCAAGCATAAATTGCAAAATTTACCACCAGGTTTGAATAGCTCCGCTTGATCCAGAATATTCCATGTTAGATTCTATACCTTTAATTTTGCATTTCCATACAAGTTTCGAAAGTTCAGTTGAGTTGGCCTTACTTTCATAAACAAAGGAGTTTTTATGCTTATACCACCTGTCTTTGAACGTTTTCTCGGTAAGCCCAATGTAATAATATCCTTATTCTTCTTTGTGAGTTTTTGCATTGCAAATATAAATAATTTTATTTATTTTTATAAATAATTATTTATATTTATGTTTCTTTATTTATTTTTACTTATATTTATTTATAGAAGATATCTATCTCTCTCTCTCTCTCTCTCTCTCTCTCTCTCTCTTTATATATATATATATATATATATATATATATATATATATATATATATATATATATATATATATATATATATATATATATATATATATATATATATATATATATATATATATATATATATATATATATATATATATATATATATATATATATATATATATATATATATATATATATATATATATATATATATATATATATATATATATATATATATATATATATATTACTATTCTTCTTTCACTTTTTTATCCAAAACTTTAAAATACATGAGTAAAAATCTGTATAAAACTATAGCGTTTATTGTTAATATACTAATTCAACATCCCTTGTAACAAAATGGCTTTTTAACTGCAATATCTAAAACGTTTTAGTAACATTGAGTTGTTGTCTCCAAAACATGGTTTTGACTTACCAACCAAACAGTACAAAAAATTGTCCAAGACGGACGTTATAGAAACAATTACAGGACGTTACAGAAATCTTTTTTTTATCAACAATTTATCAGTTCTACTCAAATCTCCTCGAAAAAGTTTGGGTTTCAGTCAAAGTTATCAATTAATATATGCCTATCAGATGTATAGATAGACCAAATGATGCTAATGTCAATAAATAGAAATAATATTTCAACTTAATTAGTAAGCCCTGTGATGACTGTTTCATTATCTTTGATTTTAACTTAGCAAATATAAAGTGGTTCTATGTTGGATTTAAATATTTCAAACCATGCAGTTCTACCATTTTAACAATTCCAACATCAAAACCATAGATAAACCCAAAAGTCTTCCGTAATCCTTTAACTCTTAAAGAATAAACACTCTCTGGAAACAAAAAACTATTATTCCTCAGTGGTGTTCCTAAAAATTTCGCTCTTGGCCCGCTTCTTCATTCACTACACAAATGATCCTGCAAAGGTTACTGAAACTTCCGTATTATTTGTCAATGAAACTAAACTTTTTTCTGATACCTTATCGCAGACTAATTTTGTAGATCTGCAGGATTAACAAGACTAGTCTGGGATAAAGTAAGGCAGTATTTTATTGTAACCGTATATTATATTTATACGAGTACTAAAACTATACAGATTTTCCGGCAGAGGTAAACAAAAACTTAAAATAATGCACAAATTTTTCAGAAAATTATTAAGCAAAAAGCAAAATGATCTTCGACATCTATTTAAGCAACTTAAGCGTTGTATAATATATGGATAACTAAACTTGTCTCAAGATAAAAAAAGATGCAATTTACATGGATTGAGAAAACACAATAAGAAAAGAATTTCAAAGGGCTGATGTGCAACTGAGTTTTCAATTCCAATTAGAGGACCAAAAGCATGGATTAAAATACTCACAACTGAACATAAAACTCTCACAATGTTAAATGAGTTTAAGGCTAAACTTAGAAAGTTATTACTAAAAAATGATTTTTCACAAAATTATTTCTGAATTGTAAACTATTTTTATAATTGTTCCATTAAATGAAAAGAATATTAATTTTAGAAATGCTTAAGTTAAATGCACTTGGTAACTTTTTAAATTTATTTATGTCTTTGTTGTTTAATAAGTGTTCTTATGCTTTTTATTTTTTTATCCTTAGACTTTACTTTTGTGATCTGAAGTTTATTATTAAAAAAAAAAAAAATTAATACAATAAATGAAAATTAAATTTTTCAGTGCTTTTAGAAGAATATCTTTAAGCATATAGTGCTTCTTGTTATTTTTAATGATAGATGTTTTATTTATTACTTTACAGTACTAAACTTACTAATTTTATGTTTGTTTATGTTATATAGTTAACAGAAGTGGTTATTTTTAAACTAAACTTTATATTGACGGAATTTTTTTGGGGGCTTGGTGATAAGACATATTAGTCGTCTTCTCGCTCCTTAGTTAAAAACTGATAAAGTCTTGATTAAATTTGAACAACGTATGTTCAACTCACAAAACTATAAAATAAATTTTAAATTACTCTAGTTTTACAAACAAATCAAAAAAATTTTTGTAAAGATTTTTTTTTCTTTTACTAATACATTAATTTTTTAAAATAACCGCCCTTTAGTCAAAAATTTGCGCTTTGTGTCGAAACCATCTATTAAGAAGGCCATGGTCTCAATAAATTAAACAAAAACGAAAATTCACGCTGCTTTCAAGATTGATGGCGTTTTTGATCTACGTTTTAGCAGGCATTGATTTATGACCTTTTGTAAAACAAAAATCAAAAAACGCAAAATGTCTTTGAAAAATATATAGGATATTTTTGTAAAAAACTTCATTTATAAATACGTCATACAACTTACGTTATTTATTTGTTTGTAAAGACGTTAGTAAAATAAAAACTTATCAAATTTTTGCTTATTTTCATAAACGTATCAAGTAACAGTAAGTAAATTTAAACTATTGTATTAAAATGTATTTCTCTTGTTAATTATGTTGGTGAATAAAATCATGATTCTATTTTATTATGTATAAATCATATAAAAAAAAGCTATGAAATAGCACAACTAGATTAAAATTAAAGTTCAAATGAAAATTTTGCATTTTATTTTTTTCTAAATAATTTTATTTTAAAATGGCAGTAAACTAACATTTTTATTGGGAGTTAGTTTATTGCAGACAATGCAGTTAAAAAGTAGGAAAACAGTCGAGAGAAATATGTGTTTCAGAAAAACAAACTTGTTGATAAGAACCCAAAAAGAAATCGATAAAAATAATAGATAAATGTAAGTTTTTTTTATTTTGAATAGATGTTTAATGTAAAAACAGAATGAGGAAGCTGAAAAAACTGTGTTTAATAGCATTTGTAGAGGAAATATTTAAAAACAACCGAACATCACTGTGATTAAAGCAAAAACTTTGAAGTAAAGCTGAGTTTTTTTAAAAAAACTTTCAAAATTCAAAAGACTAAACTCAGGCGATAACCTTTGTAAAGATAATCTAAAATTTTTTTTATGTATGAGAGTATTTACTTTAGCGATAAACTGTTTCAATAAAACTAAACTAGCAAATATACAAACATCACGCAATCTAATAAACAGATGTTTTCACTTACTAAATCAATTTTAAAAAATGCCTAAAGTTTGTTAGATACCGTTTTTAATTAAATACATACATACACACGCACGTTCATACATACATACATACATACATACATACATACATACATACATACATACATACATACATACATACATACATACATACATACATACATATATACATACATACATACATACATACATTTTTTTTTTTTTTTTTTTGTTCTTTAATTTTAAAACTTTGTGATTGAATAAATATTCGTTAACAAAGTATATATATATATACAGGGCCGGCGCGAGTAGGTGTCACGTGGGGGGGGGGGGTGCCATTACAACTTTTGCCGACTCAAAAAAAAAAAAAAAAAGGTCCTCGTTTTCCAAAATTTGCCGACTGTCATGACGACATTTACGAAAGGGTCGACATTTGCCGACTGACTAGTCTAAACCGGGCCAATTTGCCGACTAAGGGTCTAATTTGCCGACTAAAAATCATTGATGGGAGGGTGTCACACACTCCCACACGCCCCTATCGCGCCGGCCTTGTATATATATATATATATATATATATATATATATATATATATATATATATATATATATATATATATATATATATGATCGTTATTAAGAAATAAAAGAATGCGGGAACTCGTCGTCGAGAACCGCTAAAAAATTTACGTGGTTATATTTCGTATTAATAAAATATTCTCAAAATAAATAAATATTCAATAGGAATATATACTTAACATACTTGAAGATAACAAACAATTAAGAATTAAGAATTGAAAACATTAACAAATTTAAAGGAAAAAAGAAAAAGAAAAAGGGTTCCGTTATAAATACATAAATGCGTTATACAGTTTTAAGATCATCTCAAAAATATTCTTTATAAAGTTTATAAATCATCTGTCCACCAAGGAGTTTTTCCTGATCGTCTAAAAGTTGCAAAAGTTATTCCAATTTTGAAAGAAGGAGACTGTTGCAATATCAGTAACTATCGCCCTATATCTATCCTTTCTACCTTTTCAAAAATCTTAGAGCGTATTATGTACAATAGAGTATACAATTATCTTGTCTCCAATAATCTTTTTTATTATAATCAATTTGGTTTCAAAAAAAATAATTCTACCGAACATGCAATCATTCAGTTTGTACGAGAAGTCTCAAATTCCTTTCAAAGATCCCAATATACATTAGGTGTTTTTATTGACTTGTCGAAGGCTTTTGATACTGTCGACCATGAAATCCTTCTTGATAAACTAAAATACTACGGATTAAACTATATAACTATAAAATGGCTTCGTAGTTACTTATCAAACCGCAAACACTTTGTTTTTATTAATAACTATAACCAAAGCCATCTACTAAATATTTCCTGTGAAGTTCCCCAAAGCTCTATCTTGGGGCCACTTTTGTTCTTAATCTATATAAATGACTTAAATAAAGCCTCAAACTTAATGAGTATTATGTTTGCCGACGACACCAACTTATTCCTGACCAATAATGACATATCCAAACTCTTTTCTACAATTAATGATGAACTCAAAAACATATCTACTTGGTTCAAATGTAACAAGTTAACTCTTAACATTAATAAAACCAAATGGGTTCTTTTCCATTCACTCTCTAAAAAACGCTATTTACCCCAACATTTGCCCAAAATATTTATTGATAAAGTTGAAATAAAAAGAGATTTTGTTACTAAATTTTTAGGAGTGGTTCTCGACGAGAACATTTCATGGAAACCGCATATAGAATATATCTGCTCAAAAATATCTAAAAGTAACGGAGTCTTATATAAATCTAGATCGTATTTAAACAAAAAAGCCTTAACCCAACTCTATTATTCATTTATTCACACCTATATTAATTACGCCGACATTGCGTGGGGAAGCACCGAAAAAAGTAAGCTAAAATGCCTTTTTCGCCGTCAGAAGCATGCGATCCGATTGATTAATTTTGCGGATCGTTTTACTCATTCCAAACCATTATTTATGGAGATGAAAATACTTAATATTTACGAGCTCAATGTTTATAACATTTTATGCTTTATTTACATGTGGAAAAACGATTTAACTTTACCTGTCTTTAAAAACCTTTTTTCTCTAAACCCAATTAATAAATATTTACTTAGAAATAAAATTTTTGTACATGAACCTATTTGCAGAACAAAATTTAACAAATTTTGAATTAAATTTCGAGCACCCTATCTTTGGAATAAAATTGTTATACCTAATTTTGATATATCCAATACATTTCCGATCTTTAAAAGTAAACTAAAAAATTTTGTTTTATCTATTGATGATATATTTAAATACTTTTTATAACAATCACGTATTTGTCTTTTTAATTGTAAGACTGTTGTATTTTCTCTTGCCTTTTAAAAAAAGAGATGTATTACTGTATTTACTATGTATATATATGTATTTATATATTTACGTTTTTATAAGATCTGATGATATGATCAGACTTTTTATTATATATAACATTTGTGGTTTGATTTATATTTCCAATTTATATCACAATTTATTGTAATTTTTTCGTTTTGTTTATGTATTGGTTTTAAAAAAATTGTAAAAGGTTCTGATGATAAGATCATTACGATCTTCTTTCAGAAGCCTTGTCTGTTTATCTTTGTAAACAACGACAAAAATAAAAAAAAAAAAAAAAAAAAAAAAAAAAAAAAAAGATACCTTTAACAATATTGTTAAACTTTTTGTTAAAGGTTTTGTTATACAGTTTTAAGGTACCTTTAACAAAAGTATTAATCAACTATTTACAAATTGTTAAATTATAAATTTTATTAATGCAGTGTTAAATAAAAAGTTAAAAAAGAAACAAAAAGTTAAAAGAATATAAAAAATATTAAAAGATATATCATCTAATAAAAAAATTAATTTTTTAAGTTTTTGTTTGAAAGAGTGATAGCTAACTTCTTGAGAAAAGTCAAAATTCTTTAAAACTATTTTATTCCAAAGTAATGCTCCTCGAAATGAAATACAGTATTTTCCAGAATTAGTTTGATAAGCTGATTGACGAATGTCATTATCATTTCGTAAAATGTACTTAGTTTTTTTTTTTTTGTTGTTACACAAATTATGAAAAGGTACAGGAGAAATATTTTTTTACATTTAAACATAAAGCATATAACGTTAAAAATATTAAGCTCGTATATATTTAAAACTTTCATTTCAATTAATAGAGGCTTGGCATGAGTAAATCGATTCTTAAAATTAGTAAGGCGTGCAATATGTTTCTGTTGACGATAAAGTGGTTCCAGTTAACTTTTATTAGTACTACCCTTCACAATGTTCGCATAGTTTATGTGACAATGAATGAGCAAATAATATAGTTTAAGTAATGTATGTTTATTTAAAAAACTCCTTGCTTTGTACAAAGTTCCTATGCTTTTTGATATTTTACTACTCAAATTTTTTATGTGACTTTTCCATGATAAATTTTCATCAATATAAATACCAAGAAAGTTAGTAACTGTTCCTTTTTTTAGAAATATATTATCAATAAAAAGCAGTGGCATCTCATTTGGTTTAAATTTTTTTTTGTGATTTGGATGGAAAAAAATCCATTTCGTTTTATTAATATTAAGAGACAGTATATTTGTCTTAAACCAATCAGAAACTCTTACTATATCATTATTGATATTCTGAAATAACAATGTAATTTCATTATGAGATAAAAATAAGTTCGTGTCATCTGCAAACAAAACCGTCATTTAATTTGAGGCTTTATGGAGCTCGTTGATGTAAATAAGAAAAAGAAGAGGCCCTAATATTGATCTCTGAGGAACTCCACAGGCTATATCAAAAAGTTTACTGGTGAAACTACATCAACGTATACAAATTGCTTTCGATTATTTTAATAACTTTTTAACCAACTTAAAACACTTCCGTTTATACCGTAAACTTTTAGTTTTTTTAAAAGAATATTGAGGTCTGTTGTATTGAAAGCTTTAGCTAATTCGATAAAAACCCCAACTGTATATTGGGAGTTTTCAAAAGAGTTAGTAATAGTTCTTGTAAACTGGAGAACTGCGTGTTCATACATACATACATACATACATACATACATACATACATACATACATACATACATACATACATACATACATACATACATACATACATACATACATACATACATACATACATACACACATACATACATACATACATACATACATACATACATACATAAAACTAACGAAAACAGAAAACTAACAACAACGAATATTTTTATGTATAATAGACCTATATTATAGTTTTTAATTTTTTTTATTATTTACCTTTTTAGTATTTCTTTTTAAAAAAATTAATCTATACGTATATATAATTTATCACTCTGTTTTTTAGCCTGCAAAATTTTCTTAAATATGAATATATTTCCAAATTTTGTTAACAAATTGTTAAAACAAAAAAAAGAGAAAAAACAAAAAGAAAAAGATCAATCTACTTTTGTTACATTGCGTAATAACCAATCAGTAACTTTCGAACTCACAATGAATGGTGTTGCTGTTAAACCACCTGTACAAAAACCGGAATCCATTTCAATTCGTGATGTTTTAAATAACTGCCACATTGCTACAGCTCTAAAAGGTGAGCTACTCATGTCTACAGAACCACCGGAGCAACCAATGTGTGCAGCACTCGGAAATAGTTTAATTGGAGCCTTATATGACGCTTACAAAAATCACTACGCTATTTCCATTCGTCCTGATGATGTCTGGCTAACAATTATCATTGAATTAGCAGAATACGTCGACAACCACGCCGAAGAGATGCGCCATTGCTTTGTAACCAATGAAGGAAGAAAAACACTTACTGTTATTGATGAGTCTTATAGCCGTACTGTTGACCATTGGGCCTGTTTAATCAAAAAAATGTCAGATTTAATTGATAAAAATACTAAAGCCGATGTGCGTGATTTTATTGAACCTCAGTTCACAACCACTACGCCCAATGACAGTCTAATTGGGCGAGTGGCGCTTATGGGCGCTATGAAAAACTATTTTGAATATGAATTTTACTTAGTATGTGGCATACCTCAGGTTACTTTAATGGGAACTATTGACGACTGGGAAAAACTAAAAACAAAAATTGTTGAACTTGGTAATAGATTTGCTGAAAGTCAGCCGCAGCTAGGTTGGTGGAGTAACATCTTAGTTCCCATAGCAAATAAATTCATCAGCAGTTATAAAGGAAAACGTAATGAAAAATTTTGGCAAAGCTGCATTGACTTTCATGATATAAGAGATATTTCATCCTGTCTTTTTGAACTTCCAAACAAGAGGGCGAATAAAAAAAAATCAAGTTACTTTACTGAATGGGCTTTAGCATTTTCGCCATTTTTTAAAGGACAATGGCGTTTAGATAACCCAAAGAACATTTTAAAATCGGGTTTTTATGGCAAGGTTTCTCCTACATATAGTAAAACCAGCGCGGTTCAAGTTGACTTTAAAGTAAATGAAAACGGGTACACATATTATTTTTATGCAGGTAGTATTGTCAACACATACCAAAAAGATACAAACACTATTCGACCCAACTTTGATTTTGCTATGTTTAAGGTTTCAGAAGACGGAGTTGATAGTTGATATAAAAACACAAAATTGATGATGAAAATAATTAAATTAAAAAAAAAAGTTATTTTTAAAAAAATTCAAAATATAATTTCAATTTATGTCAAACATAATTTTATATATATATATATATATATATATATATATATATATATATATATATATATATATATATATATATATATATATATATTGCATAATTCATGCTTTACATAAGTTATGATTAATACAGTTTATGTTTAATCTAATTTATGTTTTGTTAGCTCCTTTTAGTTTATTTTTACTCGTTTTTTTACGTTTACTTTTACTCGTTTATTTTTACGTTTACTCTTGACATGAAAATTTTTTCATTGATGCTGCCTGTGTGTTATTCAAGTCTAGTTTTAAATTTTAAAGTACTTTATTACTTTTCTTGTTCTAAGATCTTATACCAGAATATTACAAACTTTCCAGTTTCCGGAAGCAGCATGCACTCGTATAGACACCTGAGATTTGAGCTTTTAGTTGCAGCCAAATATAGCAAAGAAATTCCAGCACAACGTATAAAAACTGCTACATTATTCTGTTCTTCAACTTTTTCTTGCACACCATTGCACTTTGTACTTTTCACTTATCTTTGAGACATTGTCTTATGAATGTCCACTGAAATCTTTAATTTCAATCTTGATTTTAAAAATTCCAAACGTTTCTCAAACATATATTGCTCAGTATGTTTCTAGTTGGCAATTAAAATTACAAATCACTCAATAGGTTACACCCTTTCTATGTAACAAAAATTTCAGGTCAATGCTTCACGTGACCTTCATCATTATATGATTTAAGAGTAACTGATACTTATACAGTTTAATCCGAGTAATAATTTACTTTAGCACACAGGCTTCGGCCTGGGGTTCTGCCGCCGTATTCACAACTTTCCGTTAAACTAACGGAGAATTTGAGTGTCCGTTAAGAAAAAAACTTTTAACGGCCGGTTATAAAACGGAAGGAAGTTAATGGTATTCTAATCATTCCGTTTAGACTCCGTTTATTAACTACTTCGATAACTTTTTCAGTTAAATTTTCTGCGTTAGCGAGTTAGTTTTCGTACTGTTTTTTTCATGGCATTTAAGCGTTGCAATATCAACAGACAATAAAGCTGTTTTATTGGGAAATCGCAGCTGTTGATTTTTTTTAATAATAACTGCAGCATAAATTTTAAAAACTTAATTAAAACACGTTACAATATAAAAAAACCTTTACAATTTATGACATAGAAAATATTAAAACAACTTATTGTTCAAAATGACGCAAAACAAAATTATCACGAAATCGAAAGTTATTTTTAGCAAATATGTCTTCATTATTATTTTCATAATTTTCAATTGGATTGTCATCTATGTCAACATCATTTAACTCTATTGCTAAATTTTGCAATACAGCACACGCAGCAATTATGGTGCAGGTTCTTTCTGGGGTCATTTGAACCTCTCCATGAAGCAAATGAAACTGTCTTTTCCACCTTCCAAACACTTGTTCAATTAAAACTCTTGTTCTTCTTAAAAATATATTATATCGACGCTGAGCTGCTGTAGTTGAACCTAGATACGGCGTTAGGATCCAACGAAAACATGTCCGGAATCGCCAAGTAATATACCTTTAAGAGTGCCAACTATCATTTTTTTTTACCAAGGTTTGATTCTCTTAAAACTCTTGCGTCATGTGTGCTTCCAGGCCATTTTGCAACAATATCATAGAACTTTCCGTTATAAGCACACACCGCTTGGACATTGATCGAATGATTTGATGATCTATTGACATAAATATATTCGCGCTTGCGTGGTTTTTGTATGCAAACGTGCGTGCCGTCTATTAATCCAGTTATTTTTGGAAATTCTGCCACATTATAAAAATTTACTCTGCTCTCATTTAAAACGTGTGGATCAGTTGGGTACTTAATATATTCATTAACTCTTTTTGCAAGACTCATAGAAAATTGGCGAATAATTTTAGAAATAGTTGGTTGACTTAAAGCTGCTGTTGAATCACAATCTGGAAAAATCCTGTTGCATAAAATCGAAGTGCGCATAATACTTGATTGATTGGCGGAACACAAAAACTTTGATTCGACTTTCTGTTTTCAAATTTTCCAAATAGAAAATAAAAGCTCGACGAAACCTAAACCTTTGATATAAGTCAACATCATCATAAATATCAAGTGGGTTGGTTCGGTCTCTAAATAACCTTTCACGTCTAAGACCTCGCCGGACTGCTTTTTCTTGACGTCTTACTTCTACGAAAACTAAATGCATACGAACGAGTCGTGGCATTGTCATTGAATATTTTCTATTCTTGCTACTTTCAGTTTTATTTTTATTAGACCATATACGTGTTATTGCGACAAACAATAACCTGCGACACAGATAACAAAAAAAAAATTTCATGGCAATGCTTCACAAATACCAACATAGTGATTAACACTTGTTACCCTAGGCAATCTTTAAAATGTTTCACTATTTATTAAAAATAAGTCTAGACTAAAGCATAAGACACTTAATACTGTATTTTATTGACGTTACAAATTTATTAGATACTGTTTAAAAATATTTATTTTAATCATACAATTATTAGTATCCTATATATAAGTTATTAGTATATTATATACAGATTATAAGTTAGAAATTTTCTTTAAAATAATGGCAGTATCAAGTATGAAAGTTGAGAAAAAACGTGCAGTCAGAGGAAAAGTGTATGTCTCAGAAGAGAAATGGTTGGTAATTTCAAAGTTTGAAGAACATAAAGATGTTCTTTTGTCAAAAGATGGAAAGGCGTAGATAAATAAACAAAGAAATTGTATATGGAATGAGGTAATCCTTTAGAATAAAAAAATCAGTTTAGGTAGCATTATAAATTTTGGTACTTTTGTGTATTTTAGATTTTCGATGCTGTAAACAGCTTAGGATTTGATAAAAGAACAGTTCCCATAGTTACCAGTGTGAAAGGTTTATGGGATAATCTTCTTAAAAATTTTAAAAAAGAGATTTTATCAACAAAAAAAATTCCGACGGAGGGAGGGGGGGACCAGCAGTAATTTTAACAGAAATCAGCCAGAAAGTATTGGATATATACGGAGAAAATTCTTTAATATTTTTTGGTTCGGAAGGGGTGGAAACCAATAGCATTGATTTTGTTTGCGATATACAGTATGCTGTCAATCCAGTTGTGATTAATGGTACAAGTTGTACAATGCTACACAATGCAATTACATCAGAAAATTGAAACAAAGACAACTCAGGACAAACTAAACAATCTACTGTGCAAGATGATGATATATTAAAAAACAACCAAAATTTGTCCGGAAAAAAAAAACTCACTCCAGTTCTCCACCTGCCAACCGTTGATATGAAGAGTTACTTAACTGAGGAAAAATTTAAATTAAGGGAAGAAGTGCTAAAGCTACAGGCTGAAAGAGAGTACTTTGTTTCTAAAAAGGAGTTAATGGAGTTAGAAAAAAGAAACGCATCTATAAATGAAAAAATACTTTTATTAAAAGAAGATTTATTAAAAAAAAAGTTATAGAAAGGCACTTAAAAACATTATAACTTTCTTGTCAATTAATGTAACACCATTTTTGTAAAACTTATTTTTTGTATATTAATATAAGCACATAAAATAACTATTTATTTATTTTTAGTTGTGAATTTATTTCCAATTTCACCAACTTATAGGTTCATTTATAAGATTCTAAAGTAAACTATTGGTAACGGTAAAAAATACTAAGATTAAATGATATATAATTATTTATTATTAATAATTATAACAGTTTTTATATAATACATAGAAAAGTTTCAATAAATAAAAAAATCTTTGAAAATTGTTAAAAAATTTACATAAAAACTAATAAAAAAGACAATTATGTTTTTCAAATGTAAATATTTAGTTATAAAAATTTGTAAAGCCGAGAAATGTTCAAGAAAAAGATTTCAAGTTCTAAGTTATACAAATATTGTTTGATAAACTACAAAAGAAAAAATCTATTTTTTTTTACTTTGTAAGATCGATTGAATCTTTGTTTCAATGTTTTGCACAATAACATGATACATTGCAATGTATCATGTTATTGTGCAAAATTAACTTCTAATATTTCAATGTCAATATTACTCATAATCTAAGATTCAGAAATTAATGTAAGAATACACGCACACGGACACACACACATATATATGTATATATGTAAATATAAATGTATACAAGTATATATGAATATATATATATATATATATATATATATATATATATATATATATATATATATATATATATATATATATATATATATATATATAAATATATATATATATATATATATATATATATATATATATATATATATATATATATATATATATATATATATATATTCTATAGCATATTTATATGCGCAATTGCTCACTTTTTTTGCTAGCTTAAATTAAGTGAGCGTTTTTAGAAAACGATGAGGGAAAACGAAGAATAATGAATGAAAAGGTTGCTGACCCATATCAAACCCTCAGTCGATGTAGCAGCACTCCACTGCGAGTCAGGCTATTTGTCAGTCGATGTATGTACTGAAGCCCCCGGCAGCAGGCTATTTGACGTTAGGTGAGTGTGACATCATCATGCTCACCTAACTCAGTAGTATAAGATATATATGTACATATAATGTATCAATTTTTGATATAACTATAATAATAAGAACAATGTATAATGCAGAATGTTGACCAATGGTTTATAATTAAAACTTAATATGGCTGGCTGTAAGAATAAAGAGAAGTTTGAAGGAATAAATATTTGTAAGGTTGTTACTATTAAATCAACTGTGAAATTATATATTTTTCAAAATCAGAGTTCGTTGCTTTGATGCTATTTTATTTTTAATTTTTTCATGCAGTTTGATGCAAATTGCTTAGGCAATACCTTTTTTTATAGAGAGCGTCATTTCAATTAAAGCGGCTGCTACAGTTGCCGAAATAAGAAAAGAAATAATGACTTTATTAAAATACGCACTCGAAAGATGGAATGGTGGTGGTCGGCGCGTAAAAGGCAATTTAGCATATGTATAACATTCATACTTTTTCCTATTTGTTCTGGAACTATTGTTAAATAAAAAATTTTTTTTTTAAATTTCTCTATTTGCATTGCATATAAAGCTCCTTGAAGCAATTTAGTGGTATTTGATTAATTTACGTGAAATATAATATTCTTTGCGCAAATTATTGCTTTTTTATTGTGTTTTTTTATTGTTATTCAAGTTGAGATAATTTTTTAGTTAATTGGAATTAACCAAAATAAAAAAACAAAAATCAACGTTTAATTTACGCTGTTTCAACGTTGTTCTAACGTCTTATCAACTACGTATCAACCGAACATCAACTATTTAAAATTGAAATATGGTACTTGATTGTGAAACGAATTTAAACTACTAGATTATCAAAATACTCATTTATTCAAATGAAATATGAATAAATGAGTATTTTAAAATGAGTATGAAAGAATAAAAAAAAAACAAGTGATTACCAAAAAAAAAGTTATATTTTATATTAAGGCTGTTTATGTTATTATTATTATTATTATTTTTAAGGTAATGATCAATTGATTTGCTTTAAAAGCGCAAATATTAAACGCAAACCAATACAAAATATATAATAAAAGTAAGGTCTTGCAATGTTATACATTATATAAAATATTTTATTATTCAAAACTTATCTATTTTTAAAAGCAGAATTACATGCGATTGACGGATTATGCGCATTTCAAAAAGTGGACAGAAATGTCCTTAACACTTAAAAAAAAAAAAAAAGATTAAGAAGTTATATAAACTAATCTTTTAATTTTTAATATGTTAAAGTTATGTGTAATATTCAGACTTTCCACTCGAACCCGTTTTAATGTTTAGTAGAAGATATATTTAATAATAAAATTTTGTATTACCTCAAATATTATTACATTTTTGAAAAAATGCTTATCTTATTTTACTTTTGAAAAGTAGTTAAAAGGATGCCGACTATTACCTGATCGCATTTAATTGACGTATTGTTGCTGATGATGACGTAATCAACGAGCAAGGAAATAAAATTAAGAAAACTTAAATTTATTAAATTTAGATTAATCAAGAATAGAGTGTAATTTCCACTAAACACTTCTAATACTTCAATAAGGAAATTTCCTAATGAAGGCGCACATTTCAGACTCCATTATATTAATAACAAGGCACATTTTAATGACAGTTGTTATACTTTACTAATGACTATTTATATTTCTATATAAATAAAGATAAAGTAGAATATATAAAAAGTTTACTATTCCTATTCTTTATTCAAGTTTTTTAAGTTAAATATATATAATACTTTGAAAAGCGAGAAAGTTACTTTAAAGACTTTTAATAGTTGGGAGTTAATGTCAAGGATTATCAAATTGAAACCAATACAGAAAAAGAAACTATTTATGTAGTTAAAATCATCTATAAATTGCACGCTCTTTATAGAATATGCTAATGGAGCAGTAAGAGCAGCTGTTTTACGGTTTATAAATGGCGCAGGTAATATTTAAAAAAATTACACTAGTAGACATATATCAAGTAGGACTGACCAATAAGCTATGCATTTAGAAAATAAGGATTTTGACAAAAATGAATAAGTTATTTATTTTACTATTTAAGGTACTTCTATACAATTAGACAACTTTTTTCTTAAAACACATTAATTCCAAATATAGTTAACATAACTTATGTCGAATGAAGACAAAATGAGAAATAATTTTTTTTTTTTTTTTCAATCTTAATAAAAAAAGTAGGTTTTCGTCCCAAAAAAAGGCTAAACTGTTTACACGATTATTTATCATAGGGTAACTGTTAAAATTTGAAATTTGCATAGTGGTTTTATAGCAATGTAAACTACAATATGTGCCACTTTCATGTTCAAAATATCAAAACTTGCAAAAATAAAGTCATTTTTATTAGAATTGTTGAATTTCACAGTTTTAATCGCCCACTCAAAACTTCATAAGTACAAATCTGAATAAGCGATACTCTTCAATGAAGGTCATTTTGTTGCTCTATATAAATAACGAGTAATTGTGGAACATTTTAAGAAATTTCATAAATAATTAGCGAAGATATTATATAAATGGTATAACTAAACAACAAAAAACACGTTTTGTGAAAAAACAGTTTTAAAAATCAGATAATATTTATTAACATAAACAAAAACGGAGCTAACTCAAGGGAGTTTTTTTTTAATATAAACTGTTTTCTAGGACTTCTTTACTTTTCCCTGTGTTTTTAAAATAAGAGATGACTATTTACAATTAATTAAAGCTCTAAAACCATCATTGAAACTTGTAAAGGCAGAATACACACCTATTGTAAGTATTTTTCTGCTACAATGAGTAGGTTTGGTACAGTATGTCCAAATAGTTCAAATTAAACACTCATTCGTATTTTGCGTTTGGTCATGGAGGCATAATTCTAGAGAGTATTGACTTAATTGATGAGAAAAAAAAGTTTTTTACAGCTATGCTAAGTGCATAAAGAATATTTGAAAACAAAATGAGATGAAATTACACAAGAAATAACTTGCGATAGAGGTGTTATAATTCTATAACATGGTTGTTAAGGGCGTTACTAAGAGTAAAAATCTATACCAACATTAAGATAAGTTAAAATAACCTCGATTTCCTTTCTTTTTTTTTTAAATTCAATGACAAATTAAGATTCTGTGATAAATTTTGATCTTAAAGAAATTATAATTAAAAAAATTAAAAAATTATGATTTTTGGTTTTTTAAATGTTTAGAAGCATTTTGGAAAATAAGGATGTTGACAAAAAATAATAATTTTATATATTTTTTTTTTTTACATTTATTTTGTTGTTTAACAATAAATAATCAAACAAATATATATACAAGAAAATAGAAAAAACTTGTACGCAAAACAAATGTAGTAACGTATGTAGTGTATATTTTTTATACAAAATAAAATATACACTACATACGTTATAACGTTGCAATGTAATTGAAGTTACGAACGTTACTTACGTTATTAGCGTTACGTATACTCTTATGTGCGTATTTATAATTTCTGTGCTTTTATATAAAGATTCTCAGGTTTTGAATACAATATAAATGTAAACTTATTTTTATTTTATAAGTTATAGAACTGTAAATATAAAAGAGTGTTCAATAGGTAAACTGCAGCTATATAGTTTATACTTGCTAACGTCTTCTTTGGAAAATGACGAGATAGAAAACGAATGTGTACTATCAGCATCAGACAATGAGAGTTGTACAAGTGAAGACACTGATGAAAACCAAGAAGTATTTAGTTATGAAAAATACAATGATCGGAAACTAAATGCTTTTGAGAAAAATGTGTACGAACGTTTACGTTGCTGTCCAGCATGTGCTGCTCCTGTTGACAGATCAGACATTGAGGAAGTTAAAGTTAATAGATCGCAACTACATTTAAAAATAAATTGTTTTAATAATTGCAAAGTGTAATGGAAATCTAAGCTGACTGTTGGTAAAAGGATTAAGTAATTTTTTTTGTCAACATCGATTGCTTTTTCAGGAATACCATCTTTGTAAATTTGAACGTCTTGCATTTATGGCAAACATGAAGTTTTTTTCTGAAACATTATATAACGATATTAAAAAAAATTTCATCATGCCAGTGATTGTAAAAAAGTGGAAATTACAAGCTAGGATAATGATATTAATGTTACAGACCAGAAAGGTTGTTTCACTTATTGGTAATGGTAGGTGTGACAATCTTGGTCATAACGCAAAATACTGTACATATACATTTATAGAAACTTAATCTGGATGTGTAGTTGACACAGTTGTAATATCATTGACAGAAATGCGGAATTCTAACTGCATAGATAAAGCAGGATTCATTTAGTTATTAAAAACATTTAAAAAAGTGTAAATTAAAGTTGATTTCGTTACAACTGATGATCTTGCCTAAATTTAACGATATACATCATCAATATGATCCGTGGCATGATGCTAAATGAATTGTAAAAAAAAATGCACGAATGGATTACATCAATAATAAATCATTTTTGGTAGAGTATTGAAACATCTAATAAAAACCCGCGAATAATGTACGAAAAACTTTCTTCTATTTTATACCATATACGAAATGTACATGAATGGGTGGCTGTTTATATTTTCATATATGCAAAAATGAACCTATTCTATAAAAGATGAACATTCAAAAAACTGGTTGGAATTTTGGCTGTACAAAGATTCAGAGTGTCAGCTATTTTTACGCTCTTCAGTTTTTAGTGTCTAAATTGAAATCAAAAACTTTTATGGATATTTTTAAACATTTAACCGATTTTAACAATTTGAACAACTAATGTTGAAGTTTTTAATAGCCTTTTGCTAAAATATGTACCGAAACAATACCGCTTTAAGTATAATCACATGGTAATAAACATTGGGTGCATATAATGGGTGCATATAATGGGTGCATATTTAAAATCTCTTGATCATAATTTTAGTTCAGAACGGAAATACAAATTGGATAGATTCGAAAAAATTAAATAATAAATAGCACACCGTAAACCTACCCAAAATTTAAGTAGAAGAAGAACTAAAGGAAAACATCATTAGGACTATCTGTTAATCATAAAAAAAAGTGATTTGAAAATGGCAATAATTGGTAAAAAAATAAAAAGCGAAAAAAGAGCAATGGCTTCGGCATCAACCGAGACCAAGACTCAAATTATTGAAAGAACAAAAAAGATTGCACGATTTTGAAATTTAAACAGGTATAAAACTTTATTGACTTTTTAATAACAATTGTTTCACTATGAATAAAAATAGATATTTAATTAATTTTTTGTTATAAGTTAAAGATACCAAATAAGCAACAACTACTATATGATCATACTCGTAAAGATACATAGTTTAGAAACTGGTTGTTTAAAACTTCAGTTTAAATTTGTTAAATGTTTATAATTATCCTTTAGAATTTTTGAATTCAATATGGAAGCTAAACAAAACTAAAATAAACAGCATTGATGTATATTTTAATTATGTTATGAAAAAAATTTGATAAAATTAAACGCAGACTTTTATTTGATTTTCTAACATATCACCAAATTAAAGCTTTATTATAGTCTGCATTTTTGGAAACCAATTTGACTGTCTTTGTGAATAATTTGACTGGCTTTGTGTCGACGTTGCTGCAATTATTATCCTTAAGG